GTGTGTGTGTGTGTGTGTGTGTGTGTGTGTGTGTGTGTGTGTGTGTGATACAACTCATTAGGCTCAAATAAGAAAAACAAATCAGAGTGAGTCTCAAAAACTCAGAATCTTCTTTTACACCAAAAGATCAGATTAATTGTGACAGAAATAATTGCAACATTATGATGGAATTTTACTCCTGACTGAAATGGAATAAACAGTTTGCAAACTACAAAGTTTATGAATGTCATAAAAATTATCGATGGGTGATAAAGACCAACTCCATTTGAAAAGTTCAGCCATGCTTTTCCAGGTAGTCTGGCATTACTTACTCCAATGCATTTGGAAACCTGGAGCATTATATTGCCTTGAGGATGAGCTTTCTTGTACATTTTGCTTCCAAGTATGAAAACCACTACAATAAGTAAACAGAAAAACATTTCAGGATTGACTGAAACTAGAGGAAAATACTTTGGTATACAAAACATAATGACAAAGAGGTTAAAACAAACCAAGCCTGAGTGGGAAACACCATTTTAAAGAGCAATAAAACAGTTATTAACATATTTTTCAATTAATTTTAATCAATCTAATATACTTTATCAGATTCTTAAACAGATTCTTATGCAGTCCTTATTCAGGCAAACATCTGTTGTCTTCAGTGAGTAGGCAGTTTGCCTGAGTAAGGACAAAAACAAAACAAAACAGATGGGGGCCTTAGGTCTGGGCCTGCTGTATTTCCCTAATACAACCTATAATTAAAGATGTAATTTTGGAAGAGCAAGTGTATTGGATATTGCAGCTATTTTATCCTCTATGGAACTCTGAAAGGCTTCTTATAACAAAATAATTCCTTGGTCTTTGTACTGCAATGCTCATTGAGCAGTGCAGCTGGTAAAATGCAGTGGTTTTTCATAAGCAAGTAAATGGTTACATACAGAAGGACAATGCAATATTTCACCAATGCATCTGCAATTACTGTATTAATATATTTCTATTCTGTGCTCATCTTAATCTTGGATATTTGATGAAAGCTTTGAAAAACCTCCCTTATTTAAAGCTTTCACATTTATTTACTGCCCATGAATGCTCCAAATAGTACCACATAAGCTAAAGCAAACTATGTAATGCAGAACATTTAGGGTTTATTTGAGGTTTGGTCATGAACACAGATAAGGGGCAGTATGTTCTTGAGCTGCCTCTAGAGCAGCTCTCATGGGAGCTCCCTCGCTGCTCCAGGAAGGGAAAAAACTGCACCAGGTCTATAGCAGGCACAGAGCAGGCTCCCTGACATGCTGGCACAGCAATGTACATTGTGGGGGGTGGAAACAAGGCTCTACCCACTCCCATCCACGTGCATGAAGAGGGATGTAATAGCTCTGTGGATCTTGCTTCTCCTCTGGTGCAATCACTCATGATGTGGGTAGCTGGTGCAGGGGCATACGGGAACGCATCTTGCACTCCCTTAAACCCTGGTACTGCCATGCAGGCCAGGCTACAATTTGACCCTTAATAGTAAAACTATTTTTATTAGACAATTTCTACTTAATTATCAGATTTTGATTTGACTGCTATTTCCAAAGCAAAGGTATCAAGCCTAACCCTTCATTTGTACCTCTAATATGAGAACTCTCTTACCCCCTGATCAGGTTTTGGGATGTTGTGAAGGAGTCAGGACTAGTAAGCTGAGGAGATGTAGTCCATCAATTTTCTACTTTAATATTTCTGCTATAGTTTGAACCTTGTCCATAATGCTATGTAACCCCTGATCAGTGATACATAAATGTATATTTATATTTTCCCTTTCTAGACTGCAGCAGCACACCCAAGCAATTACAACATATGGAGCTCTCTACCATGCAAATATATTTATATGTATGGTGTTAATTGGCAGTTATGCCAATGCTACATCAGGAATCCTGGATTATAAAAAACAAGGTAGCCTCCCCCTTTAACTCCACATTTCTAAGCAAATAGTCTTATTTCCCCTTCTCGTATAAAAAGTCACCAATATAATAAAGAGAATGTATGCAGTAAATAAACTGGAAAACATGCAACATACTCAATGAAACAGCCATGAGTGCAGCAGGCACTCCAAAGGCCAGTGGGTAACACTGTTGCTTGGTGTGAATTCCACATTCTTCGCCTGAAGGAAATAAAACAGCGTTAGACAAGAGTTTTGTATACTAGTGTCAGCTAGCATTGAAGCTATAAAATGTACCTAGGAGTATACTAGCGTGCTAGCAACTAATCTGTCTTGCTCTGACAGGTTAGTCAGCCTTCTAGTCAAACCATTAAATAAAGTCCTATCTTTCTTCCTTTGGTTGACTCTTTCTGTTCAAACCACAGAAGGCATTTTCAATGATATACCAGCAAAGAAGGGTCTCTCATATTTTTTCATATGCTCATCTGCCATCTATCCTAGGAAGGATAGCAAATTGTGTTAACTAATAATAAAATGACAGCAACGAACTGGAATAGAATGCCAGAAATGGAAAGGTCCAAGTCTGAGCTACACTTATTTGGGATCATTTGTATAATTCTCTTGTGGCTTTGCCATTCTTGAGAAAGCAGCCATTCCAAAGTCATGCCAATAAAATCTATAATCCATCGTACAGCACAACACATACTCCACTTACAGATGTATGTGTGTACGTGTGTGTATAGTCACTACACTATATAATCAGAGTTAAACATAGAAAGGAAGGACAGAAAAACAAGTATATTTAATCATGTACAGTTTATTAAGGAATGAACCCAGATACTGGTGGTTTAGAATTTGTTTTACATTTATCAGGACGTCACTTCCATTAAAGAAAAATCAGTGAGACCTTTATAATTAGAACACATAAAAACGTCCATTTTGATAGTAATAAATTTTTGACTTAATTTGTTGTATATTTTAAGTGTCTATGTGTCTATATATTATGTATATGTGCATCTTTTGTAATACCCTTAAGCTTCTGAATAAAAAGCTCCCTTTCTTCTTTCCCTCTTCCCCCCACAAAATAGAGAAATCTAATGATATTATTTTCCTCTCCTTTTTTTGATCATTTTAGTGGTGATTTAAAAGATGCTGTGTTAAATATCACTGTAGAACAAAGCCTTCTTTGAGCTACAAGAGTCACAGCAGCAGTGCTGGCTTCTCCACCTTCCTATCAGGTGTGAAAGTAGTGCAGTCTCCATGGTCATTCAATGTTTAGCATCTCTGAGACTGCCAAGAAAGATGCCCATTAGCATCAACTATGACAGTGAGGTTTTGTGATATTGACATTTCTATATTAGAAATAAGCTGAAACTATAAACATGTCTCATAAGCCATCAGATGGTAATGACTTCTGGGTGGACTCACTCAAAGTAGTTGCCTAAAACTAAAATACTCTTATCCAGTACTAATCCAATAAGTGATCCAGCCCCGCTGCCTTATTCTTTTTTGCTATGCTGTTTAACCAGTTTGTAGACAACAACAGTGCAAGTTTACCTCTGAGAATTGGAGTGATTATAGTAGAGAGGAGACTTCCGGCATTAACAGACAAATAAAATAGAGAGAAGAATCTATTTCTTTGTTTTTCCTGCAGTGAGAGTAAGAAAATAAATTTTAAAAGAACTATTTAGAACATGGTTAGTCAGTATTATGTTGATCAGACTCTGCTTGCCTAAATTACAATGTAAGATTGGAGTCCGCCCAATATTTAGTACTGATGACACAGTGTATGTATTTGTAGAGAACACTGAGGTAGGATCTAGCTCTTCTTTTGGACACCCAAGTACCAGAGCAATGGGCACCATCTGAAGATGTATATCTATTATTATTAAAAAATGAAATATGAGTCCAACCATGTTTGAAAAATATTGTTACCTGTTCCTCTTCAAACTGATCTCCACCAAATGCTGCTACACAGGGCTTGATTCCACCAGTACCAAAAGCAATTAAGATCAGGCCAATCATAGACAGACCACTAGGGAAGGGAGAAAATGTCACGCAGTTTACTTTAGTGTAGGTAAAGGAACGTCACACAAGGAGAAATGCCCAGGCTTGCTAATAGCAACAGCATTAAACAAAGGAATTCTTAACTGTCTCCTAATATTCAAAAATGTCATTGACCGGTTTCTGGTCTATATATACCACTGGGGTGGCTTGAAGGAAATGCAATGGGCTGGAGAAGAATTATCCCGGTGCAGGACCAGCATCGGGCTGAGTTAAGCAGCCCTACACTGCCCTGATTAGATGCACCAGCTTGGAGGGCATGCTGGGGCCAGGGACACAAGGTGGTGCATTAGGGATGGAGGTGCAATTGTAGCACTAAGCACTATGGGGATTCTGAACTTCAGAGAGCCTATAGGCAGCTCAGGCAAAGCTGCCGTAACTTAAAGCAGCTCCTGGGGCTGAGCTACCTTATACCAGGGTCATTTCAGGCCCTGCAGCAGCCCAGAATGCAGGCAGTAGAAAGGTGACATAAAACCATCTTTGTCCCTGCTCATCCTGGCCTGTGCTTTCTGTGCTGGAAGTGCAGGACAGTCTCTAGCACATGATATTCTGCTGTGCCAGAAAGCAAAGATAAAGTAATGAACTTTAGCTTATTCTTAAGATATTCTTTCTTGGCTCGTTTATCTGGGAGAAATACTCTATTTTATCCAGGAGTATGATATACTTTCCTTGGAAATCAAGGTGTTGTTTTATGAAGCAATGTGAATGGTGTCATATGTTGCATAATATATTTCTGGATGTTAAAATTCCAGCTCCAAAATCAGATGAAAGTAAAATAGGATATTTTATTAACTACAAAGTTTCAGAGAACCTCTTTTGCACAGACCTTGTGCAGTGATGAAAATCTGTAGTCTGACTAGCAAAACTCATAAAATGTATAGTTCATACTCAATATAGAGTTAGTCTGCCTTTGTAATCATTCTCTTACAGAGCTCAGATTTAAAATAAAATTTGAATGAAAGAGATCTGCCTTGAGGTAAATGACTGCCTCACTTAAATTAAGTGAAATCAGTATGGTTTGAATTTTGCACACATCCTGTGAAACTTTTCAGGTGCATAAAAATAAAAGGGAGAACTGTTTAAGTAGTTAACTACACAGGTTCTCTTCTCTAAAACTATTCAATCTTGGGAAAATTGATTGTGTAAATACAAGCTGCTCTAGGACAGGTTTTTAAGCAGCAGATCAATATAGGTTTCAGTGGTCTTTGCCACATTATAGGCAGGGCCGGTGCAAGGAAGTTTCGCGCCTGAGGCAAAACTTCCACCTTATGCGCCCCCCCCAGCCCTGCGGCAGCTCCCTGCCCCCCCTCCGCCCTGATGTGCCCCCCCATGGCAGCTCCCCCCCCTGCCCTGAGCTCCCCCGGCAGCTCCCCCCCCCCGGCCCCCCGGGGAGCCGTGCGGCAACTCCCACCCCAGCTCACCTCTGCTCCGCCTGCTCCCCAGCACACCGCCCCTGCTCTAATTCTCCTCCCCTCCCAGGCTTGCGGCGCCAAACAGCTGATTGGCGCCGCAAGCCTGGGAGGCGGGAGAAGTGGAGCAGCAATGGCGTGCTCGGGGAGGGAACGGAGCAGAGGTGAGCTGGGGTGGGGAGCTGCCACACGGCTCCCCGGGCTGGGGGGTGGGGAGCTACCGCGGGGGAAAATTGGGGGCACCGCTTTTTGGCGCCCCCAAATCTTGGCACCCTAGGCAACCGCCTAGTTCGCCTTAATGGTAGCACCGGCCCTGATTATAGGGGTCATATAACATGGATATGACAGCTTCCTTATAAAAGTAGCAGTAAATAAGGAGAGGCTGATCATTAGACAATTGAAGCAACAAATACAGTACATTAAAGAACTAAATTATTCCATCATGCATTAATCTGGAAGACAGAAATGTGTAATGCAACTTACATGTGCAATGGAATGTTATCAGGAATTCCATCCCTGTTATAGTCTGTCAAGTCATTTATGGAACTTACTGCCATGATCGCCTGTCCAATGGTATAAACAATGGACAGGGAGATAATGGTCCTGTTGTAAAGGAAGAAGACAGAAAATATGTTTTCTTAACTGCACAGCTAACTCAGATTTCTTTCTAGTTCACAAGAATGTTTCAGGCAGAAAGATAATTGGTTAGAATAAACAGGATGAATAACTCCATCATGAAATAGCTATGAGAATCTTATCACGAGATACTGTAAATATATCAAAACATTTCCTGAATAATAAACAATTTATCCCATACCAGTTATACTTTTGATACTTTATTTTAAAAGTAGTCTCTGCTTAAACAAAATAAATAATTTAATTATATTACTTAATTAAATTAAAGTAAGGTAATGAGACAAAAGATATTAGAAAAAAGGCGTTTATTCAGGCATTTTATTTAACATCTACATATTGTGATTGCACCATCTGTCAGTGCTTCAGTGATTGCCTCTTTAATAACCAAGTGAGGGAAAAAAGTAAGATTGTGAAAGTCCTTTTGTCCTATTTAATATATTGTGAAATTTAAATTGTATATGCATTATACCAACAATATGCAACCTATGCTCTGGGTACATAACCATTTATAGTTCTCTATTTTTCTTCATTGAAACTTCAGGGGGGAAATAATGAAAACTACACAAAAGTATCTTCAGAAATAATGAGAACAGCCCATTAGCTGGTTCACTCAGATTAAAGTGTATTCATCTATGAAAGACTAAAATTCAAGACTAGCATCAGGATAGTAGTGCCGACTGGTAGCATCAAACGTGACTTTCTCTGTTGCCATTGCATTGGGCAACTGAGTGTGCATATTGTAGTGTGATCAAAAAACTCATAACTTTAAACTTGTGTCCATTCTTGTTTCACAAAGCCCTTAAACATGTTCTTTACTTTAACTTCAATGGGACTTAAACATGTGATTAAATGTTTTGCTGAATGTGTTCTTAGTACAAATCCACAAACATATACATTTTTCTCTAATCTCTGTCAGTTATAATAATTTTAGGCATTAGTCTTAACAGCAATAGGAAAAACATTTCAGATAGGAGTGTGATTTTGTCTGAGCTGACAGTGAGAAAATCTTGTTGCTGTTCTTTATTTGGGAGTCTCAGATACTCAGGGCCGGCTCCAGGCACCAGCTTCTCAAGCAGGTGCTTGGGGCGGCCGTTCCGGACAGGGGCGGCAGTTCCAGGTATTCGGCGGCAATTCGGCGGACGGTCCCTCATTCCGCCTGGGAGTGAAGGACCTCCCGCCGAATTGCCGCCGCAGATCGCGATCGCATCTTTTTTTAGATCGCGATCGCGTCTTTTTTTTTTTTTTTTTTGGTTTTGGCTGCTTGGGGCGGCCAAAACCCTGGAGCCGGCCCTGCAGATACTACAGTGATAAGGACCATGTAAGTAACAGAGAGACAATTTATGTCAGGGGTGGCCAAACTTACTGACCTTCTGAGCTGCACACGACAATCTTCAGAAGTTCGAGAGCCGGGGCACACCTGCTGGGGCTCAGGGCATCAGCCCCACTCCTGCTGAAGCTTGAGCCCCAGCAGGCATACCCCACGGGGCTGAAGCCCTGAGATCCCCTTTCCTGTTGGGCAGAAGCCCCTACCCCACCACCCCACTTCAAGGTAGAGGTCCCACGCTCTTCCCCCCCACCCGAATCTGGTAGGTGGAGAATAGGAGGGTACCTGGGGGGCTCCACGAGCCGCACTTTAACTGTAAAAGAGCCGCACGCAGCTCACAAGCCACGGTTTGGCCATCCCTGATTTATGCAATTGGTTCTGTATGATGTACATGTATGTACAGCACATTGCAAAAATGCTATGTATCCTCTTCCACAGACTAGAGCTCCCTGTCCAACAAAGTATGGAGAAAGTCTCTGAGGGTACTCCCACAAACTGATAGTGTACAGTAGATGGGTTACTTGAGGATTGAGCCTCCATGATATTAATGCTATAATTATTAGTACTTTGGCTAACCTCCACACCATCCTGTCTGTTAACCTTCCTCATGAACTTTACAGTAGAAGTTTTTTTGCTTTAAAAATTACTCAAAAGCATATTTTAGAAGTAAATCAAAAGTTTTATATTATTCCCACTTGCCAAGTCTCAAGTTCTAGGTTCCAACAGAGTAGTCCCATTGATCTCATAGTTAAGCTTTTGCAAGATCAGGGATTTAAACAGCGTTAGCAATCTGATATAAATCAATTATTGTAATAAAAACACAGAATCCTAAAACATGGTCTTGATAAATGAGTTAAAAGTTGAAGGGTGGAATTCACAAAGGGGACACAGATGCTACTTTAGACCTCTAAGTCCAACATTTAGGTGCAACAGGCAATCACAACCTCCTGCTTGGCTGCCACATAACCCTATAGATCAGGGATGGGCAAACTACGGCCTGGGGGCCGCATCCAGCCCTTCAGACGTTTTAATCCGGCCCTCAAGCTCCTGCTGGGGAGCAGGGTCCAGGGCTTGCCCTGCTCTGGCGCTCCAGCCGGGGAGCAGGGTCAGGGGCTTGCCCCGCTCTGCACGTGCCATGGCGCCACACGGCTCCAGGAAGCAGCGGCATGTCCCCCCCGGCTCCTACATGTAGGGGCAGCCAGGGGGCTCCACATGCTGCCGCTGCCCCAAGTGTCACCCATACAGCTCTCATTGGCCTGGAACCACGGCCAATGGGAACTGCAGAGGTGATGCCTGCGGACGGGGCGGCGTGCAGAACCTCCTGGCTGCCCCTCTGCGTAGGAGCTGGAGGGGGACATGCCGCTGCTTCCGGGAGCTGCTTGAGGGAAGTGCCACCTGTAGCCTGCACCCCTGACCCCCTTCTGTGCCCCAACCCCCTGACCCAGCCCCGATCCCCCTCCCGCCCTCCGAACCCCTTGGTCCCAGCCCGGAGCACCCTCCTGCATACCCAACCCCTCATCTCCAGCCCCACCCCAGAGCCCGCACCCCCAGCCAGACCCCCCTCCTGCACCCCAAACCTCTACCCCATCCCGGAGCCCCCTCCCGTACCCTGAACTCCTGAGTTTTGGCCCTACCCAAGAGTCTGCACCCCCAGCCAGAACCCTCACCTCCTCTCACACCCCAACCCCCAATTTTCTGAGCATTCATGCCCGCCATACAATTTCCATACCCAGATGTGGCCCTCGGGCCAAAAGTTTGCCCACCCCTGCTATAGATGCCTATGTTTCCCGCATTAAAGTCTTCAAAGAGCCTAAATTTCGGTGGCTGGGCATGCACATAGCTGACTAAATCTTGACACCAACCAGTAGATTGGTGCCTAACTAATTCCTAAGCTTCAGTGGGACCAGAAACTATGTATTCCTGGACTATCTTGCCTTCAGGGCCTGATGAGATAGGCATGCTCAAAGCATACCTAAACCCCCACAAAAGACAATGACAACAGAGATGCCCCTCCCCCCTTATAACCTTTAGTTTAGTGGTTAGCACACTCACCCAGGACCTGGGAGATCCAGGTTCAAATCTACTCTCTGCCTGAGGCAGAGAGAGAATTTGAATGTGGGTTTCCCACTTCTAAGGTGAGTGCCCTAACCACTGGGCTATGTAGTAGTCTGGGGCAGATCTCTCCTGCTGAAGCGGTTCTACTGTGTATAAATAATTAAATATTCAGCAAGAGAATTAGAACTTGGATCTCTCACCTCCCTGGTGAGTGCCCTACCCGAGTCATTCTCACACTCTCTCTGTCCCAATGAATATTTCTGTCAGTGACTCAAGCTTTTCCTCACTTCCAGTTCTGAGTGAAAAACTTGAAGCCTCTCTACAAATCTGAATTCACGAACACCAGCTTCTGACAGAGTATTCTTGAGTCCCGAGGGTGGTTTGAAACACTCTTTCCCTAAAGTAACAGTTGGAATTTCATTGCTTTTTTCAGTCATGCCTTCATTTGATTGTTTTGCTTTTTAAATAAGCACTCACTTGAACTTTCCCAGCCAGGAGTCAGCAATGATTGCTCCAAGGATTGGAGTCAAATAGCACAGAGCAACAAATGTGTGGTAGATGGCTGTAGATAGGTTATCATCCCAGTGGAGAAAAAATTTGAAGTACAGAACAAGCACAGCTACAAGGGGGAACAAAACAATCTGTTAGGGAGGTGATAATCAGTAACTGAAACCAAAAGCAGGTGAAGATTGAAAAGGAAGTTACCTCGCATTCCATAGTAGGAGAATCTTTCACAGAACTCATTGATGACAATGAAGAAGATGCTGAGTGGATAACCAAAGCAACTTGGCTGAAGGGGAACAATGGAACAATGTGAATTCCAACAAAGCCATGAAATGTATAAAGAAGATCATTATCTGGCCGCAATTCATAATTCTAACCCGAGTCAGTACAAATTTTACGAGCTACAGGTCAGTTATTACATATCAGTGTATTTATATCTATTGACTGCAGTGGAGCTAGGCAAAACTGTAATTGAATAAAAACATCATGTATTGCATATTTGGGATGCTAGGCTTCTAATGTATAGAGTAGTTCTGACTAGTATCCCAAAATACGCAAAACATTGTTATTATTCAATTACATTTTTATATTAAAATCTAGTGACATTTTTAGAGCTCTCTTGTCAGGTGCAAATGATGAACCTTTAGTGTTGGACTAAAGCAAAACTTCCAGAAAGACAACCAGTCTTGAAATGAAACCATCAAGAAGAGAAAGCGAATCATCCACTTCCTTTGGTAGTTTGTTCCACTGGTTAAACACCCTCACTGTTAACATTTGTGCCTGATTGCCAATTTGAATTTGTCTGGCTTAAACTTCCAGATATTGGTTCTTGTGTTCCTTTTCCCACTAGATTAAAGAGCCCTGTAGAACCCAGTATTTCCACCCAGTGAAGGTAAAGTTTAGGCATGCAAATACATGAGTATATTACTGTGAGTATTTGCATGCTGGATCTTTTCGGCTGTAAGAGTTGATGATTCATGAATTATTGAGTTGCATAGCCATGCTGAGTACTGAGGTGAGAACAACAGAGTACAAAATTAGGCAAATACAACCAATATATGTGCACAGATCTTTAAAAACCTTTTGTTAGCTAAAATGCTCTGCATAATGGTTAATGTTTTTGAGCCAATAATCATTATTGTTTTATCTGCCCTGAAACTGGAATCTACGCTCTTTGATACACAAACTGAAATGCCAGTTAGTATATTTTCACTGTGACTTTGACAAGTACCTCTGTGCCATCACCTTAAATGTTGTTTTGTACCTTTACAAGATAACAGAATATTATGAATCACAACAGATACCTCTATATCTCAGCAGCAACAGCACACTAGCTTCACGAACTACAGGGCCATGTCTTAACTCTGGCCTTCTCAGTGTCAGTACAGTTCCACAAATATAGTACAGATCTAAAATATGGGCTAACTGCAAAAAATACACAAGATCTGGATTTTTAGCTATAAATATAGGAATCTTTCTATCTACCAAATTAAGAGAAAAGGATTCCAATGGGGAATGGAAAATAGATGGATAACAAAAGGTGTTTGAATTCAAACCTATAGGAACAGGAGACAGTAAATTCCATGCAAGGCCAAAACACAACCTAAAGCATCCCATGTGGAACCTGAAGGCTATTGTGATGGGCACTTTCAAAATGTCTCAATAGAATGCATCCTGTCCTCTTGCCATAACTACAGGGCAAGGATAAAACTGATCAGCGACAGGTTTTTATTGCAGGTGACAATGAACATGCAATTTCTCTTAATCTATCTAGGAGTTTTAATGTAGATGCGGATATCATGACTGTTTAATTTGGATAACATAATTTACATGCATGAATGATGGTCAGGTACCAACCAGTTTTCAGTACAGTCCTCTGTGTCTTAAAATGTGGGTATCTCAGCTATAAATCATAATTTATCAGAGCAGTACAGCTTTTGTTACTGAACACTACATGAGACCTACAGTATCTTGAAAACAGAAAAGCTAAAACAGTGTCACAAATTACATTTTAAAATTAGTTTTCTGTGGAAAAACAAGAAAGGGAACAGGAGAATGCTCTGCCTTTCATATTTATGCCATGACTATTCATAGCTTACTGTTTATGGGCCTGATCCTGCAAGATGCAGGGTGCTATTAGATCTGCAGCTTGCAGAATCAAATCTTAAGAAAATCTTCATTTGATTTCGATGGAGCTATATCAATTTACACCTACTGAGGATCTGGTCCTTAGACTTAAGTCAGTTCTGTGATTAATACCTTGCTTTTTAAAAAACTTGGAAAGCTTTAGTATGTACTATAAGAAATTACCTAACTTCTGAGAAGAATTTCATACTGAAATTGTGTTTGATATCTCATAGTTCAGACTTGTTTTGGATAGCTCATAGTTCAGACTTCTTAAACTGGGGACAATACAGTCTTGTGAGACTAGCTAGTAAAGGGATCACAGGAAATCTTGATACTAAGCCATATAACCCTTGTGGCAAAAGATCAGGTACAGAAGGATCTTTGAACACAGATTAAACATAATTGTATATGTCAGCTACAGTTAGTTAAAGTGAAAAAGATTATCAAATAGTGCTTTAAAAAGCAATCAATATTAATATGCAGGCTAAATCTAAGAGATAATTTAGTTTGAGGTTTAAAAAAATCAATTGTTCCAGAGGTCAAGTTTTTCTGGAATTAAAGAACAATTTGCTGCTGAAAAGTGGCATTTGATACTGTTTGATATCATGTTATGAGATTTCTGTAATTTTTTTATTTAGACTATTGCAGTAATGTTAATAATTCAGATCTAATTCAATGCAAAGAAAAACAGCCCAACAGGTCCAACTGAAAGAAGCTGTACAATGGAAATCCTGCCTGCAGTTAGTGAATTGAGAAGCTTTGGTCAATAGTGGAACCTCTAAACATAGTTCAAATGAAATTCCCACCAATTTGCTCAATTATTAAGAAGCTAGATATGGAAAGACTTATTGAGTCCACCACATTGGAAGTATAAACTAGTGTCTTATCTATCATATTAAAGTGATACTACATTTGAATCCACAACATTCACAAAAACACAACTCAGTATGATGGTCAGTATCTTGTCAACTGTAATGAATTACATCTGCTGCAGTGATGGGTATGTTCTGAGACATTTTGTAACACTGATCTTGAGTTCAGAGCTAGTTACACTTGCATGGTAATGAGACATTCTTCCAAGAGACTGCATTGATGGAAGATACACTAATGGCAGTCCATGGGCTGTGGGTGAGAAATCTTGTGCTGCATGTAAAGAAGTATTCTTGTAAATATTACAACTGAGAGAAATAATAAAATAAAGATAAAACACAAGGATGGGCCTGCCTAGATTACATTCAAACTTACTCTAGGCTCAATTTGTTTTTTGTTTTTACAGTTTCTTGACAAACTTTGGTGTATTACATTGGGTAAAATCTTCAACAAATAAGCGTAAAAATATATTTGCTTATTAGGGTTTCTATAAGAGAAAAATGAGACGGGGCACCACCCCTTCTACTGACATACCAGAGCAGTCAGATGAACAAAGGTATTCCTAATATGTAAAGCTCTCATCCTGCTTAACTACATCACATAACTATGTGTTGGTAGCTACACTTTTTTTAGTGAAGGTATTTGCTGTGTTTACATTCTGCTTCATTTTTATTTCAGGATTTTCTCTTTATTTTTTACTCTAGGCCAAAAAACTTTACTTTTTTGATAACTGAATTAGATATTGAGTTTTTAAAGTAAATTGCAATTTGATATTGTTGGGAGCTTCAGAAAGAAAAAAAGTGAGCTCTGATCTCAGAAGAATGGAATCAGGATAGTGATAATGGTCTGCACACTCTGTCTGGCCAGAGGAGTTTGGGATACTCTTTTTCAAGCAGTGCTGCAAGGAAGCGGATTTAGGTCAGTTTGAACATGAGAAAAGCCAAATCCCTAAGGTGTGTTAGACTTGGTTACAAACTGCATGAAGTATATAAATACATATATACTGCAATGGCTGGGAGTCTTTCTAAAGGCCTGATCTAATGCCCACCGAAGTAAGTCAAAAGACTCCCATTGACCTCAATGGACATCAGATCAGGCTCTAAGGCAATGAATCAAATTCTCTGCTGATGTAAATGGGCACAACTCAATTGACTTCAGCTGGGGTTATGTCCATTCACATCAGCAGAGATTTTGGCTCAGCATGTCTATGTACCATGTTAGGAACAATGGGAACATTACTTGAATACAACAATCAAACACTTTACAGAGTTAAAAAAATAAATACTAACCCCATATTTTCTTTCCTTCTTATTTTTCTCTGTTAGGAAAAAAGAGAGAGAAACAAATTTATGTAAAACTAGGATTTCTTACCAAGACAATGGAAAACACAATAATCTTAGCTTAATAATAAACACAATACTTTTAATAAGACAAATATTCTTAATTAATTTAAACTAAATAATTCAGTATAAACTTGGCAGTATTCATTAGCCATAAGCATTTTTACAGATAAAATGTACGGTATGTACAGGGTAAGTAAACTTTCAGACTTCTATGTGTGGCTTTTTATACTCTGAAACAATTGTTTCAAAATTAAATGAAATTGTTTTTGTATTGTGTATCTATAGTAGAGCAATTGCAGCTTGGAAGTTATATTTATTTTCAGGCCCATATAATAATTAGTAAACTCTAAGATATTTAGGTTATGTATCAATTAAGAGGCATTAGCTATATACAAAAACTTGAACAAGGAAGGGTTTTGAAAATATAATTGCAGGCAGTAAACTGAATAAGAAATTAAAAAAAAAAATAGAAAACAAAAAAAATTAAGCAAAGTTTGAGTACATACTAAAGCTACCTCTCTATTAAATAGAAACTATAGAAATACACATTTATTGTTTAATATTTGTAGAAAGTCTCATTGTAAAAACCAGCTCTGAATAATATTTGCCATGCTGCAGTCTGTATGCTTAGGTGTTTTAATGTATTTACATAGGAAACTGCATAATATTTGAATTTACTTCAGATCATCCTAGTGTTTGAAGTTTGGTTGCCTTTTACTTATCTGTTTAATAGAGAGAAGTGAAATACTTCTGTAATTGGCACAGATTCACATTTGGCATCATTGTTTGGATACTTAGTCCATTGCAAAGGAATATGAAATTGAAAACAAGTTCTAAAGAAAAAAATTATGATATTTTGTACAGACTGAAAAAAAATCTTTAAAATATGCTTTCAGCCAGCAGGGAACAAGTACTAATATTTCATTTTACTAGTAAGATGAGGGGAGCTAGGAAATACACAAAAATGTAGGAGTCCCAAGATTCATACATAGCTCAAATGAAAAACAATCATGAACAATGCAAAGCAGCATCACACATACTGTAAAGCTTGTTCAGACCATAAAATCATCACTAATCCAGGTGGCACAAAACTATCAAACAGCCCCAAAGCAGTGATCTGCTTCAGATTAAGCTCTGGGTGCGCTACCTTTACAGCTTGCTTTACAGACAGGGCAAAAGTAAGGAGTAGAGACAAGATAAAGACAAATGCCATTCAGCTTGATCCTGTAGATCCTGCAAGATACTGAGCACTACGGCCTGATTCAGCAAAGCACTTAAGCATGTTACTAACTTTAAACATGTGAGTAGTCTCACTGAAATCAGTGGGAAATGTTTAAATTCTTTGCTCGACTGGACATCTTGATGCTCAGGGCCAGAGTGGTTTCTGCAGGCCTCTGAAGCATGTTTTTCCAAAGTGAGTTTTGCTGACAGACACGGGGGTTCATGCCATCTCTGATAAAGAAATGTTCGTGTGAAAATGTAATGGACGTCAGCACTTCTTATGTTAAAAGTTCAGTATCTTGAAGATAAAGTTCAAGTACAGCAGGGATGTGTACTTTGAAATCCTGGTTTGCAAACTAAACAAAACTATACCCGATTGTCATTATGAAAGGAAATGCTATTTCTGCTTACTTGAGTAGCATGTAGTCCATAGTTCACCGTGTGCACATACACGTGTACACAGTGTACTGACAACAACAGTGCTGGATACTTAAGCCCCTTCTTTTTCAGCTTAAACCAATTTTTACTGAAAAATTCCCGGGTTTTACAAAAATATTCAGTTTTTGTTTATTTTCACTCTACTTTTATATCATTCAAATATATAAAAATAACTTGTTTTATTAGGAAAATACAATACACTGCATGAGATATATGTATTATGATAATACATTAGTCTGTGTGTATATGCAAAGCTGCCTATAGAAGTAAGGCTATATATTAGTCTAGAACAGTGGTTCTCAACCTATTTACCATTGTGGGCCACATATGCAGCTCTCTATGTGTTATGTAGGCCTCATCCACACAATATATATATTTCCTACATGGCCCTGAGGATATCACATGGGCCGCAGCTGTGTGCTGATTGGGCCGCAAGTGGCCCGTGAGCCGCAGGTTGAGAACCACTGGTCTAGAACAGCGGGTTCTCAAACTGTGGGTCAGGACCCCCTTTGAATGGGGTCGCCAGGGCTGGCTTAGACTTGCTGGGGCCCAGGGCCAAAGCCCGAGCCCCACTGCCCAGGGCCGAAGCCAAAGCCTGAGGGCTTCGGCCCTGGGCGGCAGGGCTCAGGTTGCAGGCCCCCTATCTGGGGCTGAAGTCCTTGAGCTTCAGCTTTGGCCCCCCCCGCCCAGAGCGTCAGGGCATGGGCTTTGGCCTCCCTGCCCGGGGCAGTGGGGCTTGGGTGGGTTCAGGCTTTGGTCCCCCATCCTGTGGTCGTGAAGTAATTTTTGTTGTCAGAAGGGGGTTGCAGTGCAATGAAGTTTGAGAACCCCTGGTCTAGAAGATACACACAATAAAAATACAGGCACACAAGCTCTGAAGTGCATGTGCATCTGAATGTACTGAGGAATCTCATGCCCACTACGTACACATTTCAAGCTGTTAGCAAATAACAGTTTAAAGATTTGGCCCACTAAAATGGGAAGAAAACGAAAATCTGTATCAGAATACATTTCAGAACACAAGGAAGTATTTGAAAGTTTTAAAAAAACAAAAACAGGAGAAAAGGATGAAGTTGAGTGTATGCGCTGCAAATGGTGTGTCCCAATTATTAAATGTAAATATTTGTAGGCTAATAGTTTTAAGTCTACAACAGTAAACTGTTTATTCAAATGAAAAGTTTTATTTGGGGATTAGAGACATACTGTATTCTTAAACTCAGAGGTGGCATTGTGTTTTGAATTCTGTTTTAGTTCTGCAGCAAACCACATTGGTGAACAGAATTCAAAGCATTAATCTACTGAATACTCCCCCCCCCCCCGTCTTTCTGTCCACCAGAATAAACCCTGATATTTACCCAGAAAAATTATTAATAGTTTTTTGCACTGACTTTCACCTGTTTTTGTTGTTATGGTCATAAACACTGATACATTCCTGGGAAAAATTAAATAAAATAAAACCTGAAAACAAAGGGCCCTATGGATACTCTTTAAATTTTAGCACTGATTGCACAATATACTAACAAGTATATTTTCAAGGGTTTTTTTTAAAGATTTAATCTCTTATTTTGATAAATAGAATAATTATGCTACACAGATAAAATGAATATGGAAAGTAAGGAAAATCAACACATGAAAATCATGGATATATTTTTTCTTTATAAAAATTAATAAGTATAAAATATACCAAAAGCTGTTTTAATGATACTTTCAGGATACAAACCCTTACATGCCATTTCTGAAATTAACAAAAATGTCACTTATGCAATTCAAACAAAGAGAAACTAAGTGGATATCAAGGTATCCATGCTAAAGATTACATCTGTCCATAATATTATCCCTGAATATTTTTACATGTTGATGTTTTCAGAGCACCTGCAGCACTGTGTTATTTGCTATACCATATCTCCAGCAATTATTATTCTTTTAAACATATGTATTTATGTTTGTGATATTTTGACCTAAATTGGAAGAAAAAAGAACAATAAAAGAAGTGTAGCTCTCTGAATTCTACAGGCACTGAAAGGAGGCCTTAGCTTTCAAATTCAAAAGTTTAATAGGTAAAATAATTGCAGTATATAACCAGTGGGTGCAAGGGGGGGATGGAGCACAGGACCAGTCTTCTCTGTGACTACAGCTATGCAACCATACAGGGATTCCCTTCTTTATGGATCCCAGGGAGCTGCAACTGAGAGGCTACCATCCTTGCATCCCCTGTGGAGTCCCTAAGCCTTCTCATTTGAGGGGCGGCTCTGAGGAAAACTCCATGAGATAAACTGGCAGAATTTCCTGGGCCACAGTGGTACCTCCATGGGTGAAAATGATTAGGCTTCATTTCAATATGCAATATTGGTGGCCTTGCCAGCGCTCAGTCAACAAACAAACAGGTAATGTCAATCCCACTAAGCACTTTTTAACACATCCTTCTGCATGGTTAATTACTGGGTCAACTACTCCTCTGTATTATTCTATCTAAGAATCTTGCAGGGAGTACTGAATCCTCAAGCATGTATTTTTCCCATTTTTACAAGGCCTTGGTCATTGCCAGATAAAGAAGCAAATCCTCAACATTCATTTCTTTAAATGAGGGAGAAATGTTCATACTTTTTAGCGTATATTATGGGGACTTATATCTGGGAGCTGATGGACTCTCTGAGCATAATAAAATCTTTTCCTCCTGACAGCTCTGAGGATCTTATTCCTGTCTACCCTCTAATCCTTGGAAGGCAACTGTTCTTTTCTGACTTGAATTCAATCCATTTTTCTTGCTGTGCATTTGGAAGCAACATCCCTACCAGAAAGCTCTATCACATGCATCCAGGCTGAGTACATTTCAGAGCCATTTTTCAAATACTAGATGTTACATTGTGGGCTTCTATGTTTCTGGAAATCAGTCAACATTAATGTTTATGGCTCTGACTTGCTTCTTGACCATTTCTAAACTAAGTCTCAGGGATTCACTCTCCTTCACCAGGGAAGCTGATCAAGTTCTTGAATGCACCAGAGCCAAGATTTTCAAAATGAGAGCCTAACGTTGTGCTACTAAGTCCATATTTAGACACCTAAATAATTGGCCTGATTTTCAAAAGTGTTGAGCAGCACGCAGCAGTTCCCATTGACTTCAACTGCAGATCAGCACTTTAAAAAATCACTTTATGTGTTGGTGGCATCAGTTTTTGTTGTATGCAGCCCTCACTGTCCTTGACTTTAAAAATGGTTACTTTAACTTGTTTTTAAGACTAACTTCCATTAAACTTACTGTGTCTCCATCTTTTCCAGGACTGTCTGTTGGGGACATGAGTGACAGTTCACCT